ATGTTTTTTAAGTGTATGGTGGTTCCACCACACTGAAAGTGAACGAATAACAGGGCCTATACTTTCAGAGCCAGTTCACTTTACTATTCTTCTGGTACCCGGATACCCTCATAGTGGCACAAACGTTGCGGTGCCATCTGTCAGTAACACACTTCAAATAGCTATCCAACAAAAAGCGCTCCCGTATCTCATGTTGGCGAAATTAAGTTCAAATAATGCTCGGCTGGAGACTGTATGAATATGAGTAAAACCAAATATTTTGTGAGTGACACAAAATTCAAGTAACGCCAACAGAATTGGCTATGCACAACTGCACACTTACAGATACTTGAAACGTCGAAAACACCTTGGAAACTCAGATTCATTGATTAAGTCGAACTGCGACTGAATTTCACTGCGCTCAGTTGTACCGGAAAATGTTTCATGCGGAAAAAGCGAAAGTATCTAATTGCCTAAAGTGTGAAAAATGTTACTCCCTTTTCTGAACGTTTAGCTTAAATTCCAGACTTTTTTCTGTGTATTGGTCATTGCCACCGAACAGATGTTGTGTCACAGAAACAAATCAATCCCCAAAGTATCTTTTCTAAGGACTTTGATCGTGCACCGTTTGAAAAGGGGAGTGACGTTTCACGCTTAGCTAATTTTTTGGCGTTTTTTGCGTCCACACATCAAAGGCTATTGCATTTTTGCTCTAAACGGAATATTCTTCGATTAAAGTGAGACAGAAACTTCCACTGGGTTAATTTCCCTGGTTTGCTGCATGTTGAGCCAAAAGTGTCGTAAAACTGCTTGTAGTAGGGCCAGGTGCCACTTCACAGTAGCCTCTGGTATGCAGTGTAGCGAATGTAAGAAGTGGTTCCACGATAACTGCACAAGCCTCACACCCTCAGCATATAAGAGGTACAGCAGCGCAGGAAGTGTCCGGCTTTGCACGTTTTGCTGCTTGGTCATTCCCACTGTGGTAGAGAAGCAAAAACAGTTCCAAATACGATAACTAAGAGACTATCGTTGAAAGTAAAAGTCGAGAACTAGGACAGTGATAGCGACACAGCATCCATTGACATACGGACTGCTGTGCAAATTTTAAAAACATCCTGCGACAAGCTATAAGCCGTACGCGTCGACTACCCACTAGGTTTGCTGACAGCAACCTAGTAAAAACTACAGGGGCAGTGTGAAGAGAGTATCCTGTGGTTCCCACATCACCAGAGGTGGCAGGCACAGTCTGAAAACTGTCTACCGTAAGACTAGGCCTACTTCAGATGAAAGAAACGGGAACGAAGCACCCTCAGTGCCAGCTACGGAGCCATGCAGGCCCCAGGTCATACCCAGTTTGCGACCCAATCACTGAGAAGAACTAAACAGAGTGGGATGCAAGTCCGTTCTGGAGTTGTCAGGGTTGCTGGACTAGGCTTTAGTGAACCTTGCATACCCGACTTCGAAAAGTGGCAAGTAACCAAGCCTAAACGGTGTGCTAAGAAGGCAATGATGGTCATCCAACCAGCTATCGTCACTCCAACAGCAAAGACAAAGTGGAGATCCTTGACAGGTCCGTAATCTTTCACAAAGTGGAAGAAATTTAGAGACCCGTAACCCCGTATATGTTTTGAACAAGACCTTAGCAGGGTACAGGTTTGATGAACCAGCTTTTATCAGAAAACACGCCAGGAGTCACCTTACTCATGATACATGCAGTAGGCAAACAGGAGACAGTCATTACTGAAAGCAAGTTTCGGCTACCTAAAGTCGTGTTCGAGTCAGCAGATGAGAGAAATCAGATTCTGAAGAACGCTCAAAGACTTCGAGGATTTAGAGGGTTCGTGCGAAAGGATCTGGCTCTTGATGATCGATTCAAAAAGCGAGAGCGGGAAGAAGCAATAAAATATAGATTAGCGGCTGGAAAGCAAGGCGTGATAGTTGTGGGCTATCATGTAGCGAGGTTTAGGTAACAAATGAACCTGAGGCCTCTATGGATAGGACGGAAACTCATTTTAGTGGTTTCGTAGTCTTGCACACGAATCCACTTAGTCTTTTAAACAAGCGGACTGAGCTTAGTAATGTGATAGGCAACGGAAGCCCTTGGATCGATGACTGTGAAACACACGAAGATTCGTCCCTTTTAGAAGTAACAGGTTAGCACGCAGAGGTGGTGCTGTCATCCCTTACCTTAAGAATACCTCAGTTGTAGAAGCCACAGAAACAGTTGCACATGAAAGTGGGACATTTAAAAAGCTGTGCCACCAACCAAAATGTAGGGACAAGATGTTAAAGTTGTCGTAATGTGTCGAAGCCTTGGATGGCAAGCAGCAAACTTCCTCCTAAATAAGCTGACCCTCTGGACAGATAAATGCTGATACCCAGTCGAGGATACTTTAACGCACCATCAGCTGACTGGGATAGACTGACAACAAAAGTGCCATGTAATTCATTTGAAAACAGGCCAGTGAAACGTCAATTTCCTTAGCCCTCATACAGCACGTTGGGACACCAACCAGATAATAATAATAATGATATTTATTCCTGAATGTACAGGCACACACCATTTTTACAGGTATGAATAAGTTTAGATACAAATTACATTCACCTTCATGGAAGGTAATCTGAATCCTTACCCGTTGTCACTATAAGATATAAGTGCTGCACGTTCATATAATGGAACATCCCAGCAGAATGAGTGTGCAGCAAATTTACAAGTTGACAAGTGGATATGGCTACCAGCATGCTCCATCAGTTCTAGACTTAGTATTCTGACTTACAGATGATGTACGCTTCATCCGACACCTAGCAGCCATGGTAAAAGTGATCGTGCTGCGATTATCTTCAGACTAACAGCAGACGTCTTGTACCAGAATGATACCCCGGCTAGACCCAGCATATGGAAAGCAAGTATGAAAGCTGTTAACTTTGCAGCCTCTTCGAGAACTGGATAGTCAATCCGGAAGCCTCATTTGAATGCGAGTGGTGCTCCCTCAAACAGTTATACGCTCAAGTGACCCAACCGTTCATTCTGTGGGCTGTCTTCTGTGGACAAACCACGGAATCCGAATTTTGCTATAAAGTAAAAAAGGTGATGGAATCTTGCCACATACCTAATTACACCCGAAGTACGGAAGCATTACAAAGAAGTCCATAAATGTATCACTGCCATCCGCTGGTCTCGAATATGCTTTGAAACACTTCTTGTCCAGGCTGCATTGCAACATCAGAAGAGGTGACTGTCCTGTATGAACCACAGAAATAAGATGTATCGTGGTGCACCCACCCTATCAATGGGACAGAAACCGGCTGTTCGACTTAGCACGATATGGAAAGGCAGAAGCCATGGCTGAATATTTTGCTAGGTCTTTGCGTAGAACCTTTTTGGACAACATTAGTGGCATTGACACCCAACAGAATAAACCCTGTGGATATCGATCGCAATGATGTATCTCGGATATTAAGTAATTTCGACCCGCGAAAACCAACGGAACCGGATGGGCTACACCCAAGGCCGCCCAGAGGGCTTGCGCTCCGTGTACCCGTCCCATTGACTACTACACTCAGACAGTTTCTGAGTGAACGCACACTCCCCCTTGCTGAAAGGATGCCATAGTAAAACCCATCCACAAGACAGGTTTTGGGCAGTTCCCATCAAATTACATACTAGCAAGGTAGTGAGAGACCTGGTAAGAGTAATCGAGAATGCCATCACAGTTCACTTAGAGAGGAACACTCTATTGTCTCGCTCACAGCATGACAACGTAGGGATTTCTCCTGCCTGAAGAAACTCCTCACAGTCCGAAGTTTGGCTAAATCTAAAGATGATAGGATACCGATAGGTGTCAATTTCACTGACTTTGGTAAGGCGTTCGACAACGTAAGTTATTCCTCGTTGCTCGGAAACCGGAAGTCTTGGAATCACTGGCAGATTGCTCCTTAGATAAGAGTTACTTGTTGATAGGAGGCAAAGAGTAAGGATCAATTCTCAGCTCTCCACTTGGAGGTCAGTAGAGAGTGGAGTGACGCAAGGCACAGTCCTGGGCCACCTACCGCTTCTCCTTTACGTAAATGAGTTGCCAAATACCACGAAATCCCCTATGGTCCTCTACGTTGATGATGCAAAACTCTGGGGAGAAATTAGAAACGATGTGGATATACGTGTGCTTCAGGCAGACCTAAACAGCTCGTTTACCCGGTCAGAGAAGCGGCTGATGCCTGCCAATGTGGGTAAATGTGTGAGCATGCACTTGGGGCACACACACAGCAACATCTATGATATTGGTAGGACACCTGTACCATCGGTACTGACCCATAATGACCCAGGAGTCGCAGTGAGTTATGACCTGAAAACCATGGCACACTGTTGATTGGTAGCAGCTTGAGTTTTAGGACCCTCTCTGCGTTATGTAAAACGTTTACGAAAATAAGTGGTGACATGTTCACTATCTTGTACACATCCTTAGTTAGGTCTAAACTAGAAAACTGTACACAGGCGGCTAATCCTTGTCTGAAAGGTGACACAGACCTTCTAGAAAGAGTTCAGAGGGCAGCCACTCGTATGATCCGTGCAACGGCTGGCCTCACCCATGAAGATCGACTTAAGGAGCTGAACCTCTTCACCTTATCCTATCATAGACAGAGGGAAGACCTAGTCATGCTCTACAGGATTCTAAGAAATGACTTCGGACCTGGTCTATCTACTCTTTTCCTTCCTACTTGGTCGGAATACCTCAGAGGACACAGTAGGATGCTACAAAAGAGAAGACGAACACAGCCCCCCGCACAGTACTGGTTCTCGCGTCGAGTAATCAACGCCTGGAAACAACTCCGAGAGGAAGTGCTGTCGGCATCATCTGTTGACTGCTTCGAAAGGGGATTGAGCAAGAACAGAAATCACTGAAAGGAATTATATAGGCTTTTAGCCTCCTATCCTCAAAAAAAAATCTGATCTAAATCTTTTGTTATAACTACTTGAAGCCTAGGTTTCTATGACCTCAAGGTTGTTCGCATATTCAAATGTGATGACTATCTCTAGTGATCCTTATTACTGTCATGAGCAAATCCCTATTCCTCCTGCTTTACCAGATATCTTAAAACAGTTCACAAAGGCAGCTATCCGGACTCAGCCAAAAGATGTCCTTAAATGGTCTTATGCGTAATTAGTAATAGCGCTATCATATGTTTTGCTATAGATATTTTAAAGCAATGGCACAAAGTGAAATACCACCGGTAAAAGAACGACTGGAAGTTCCAGTCAGCACACAAAAGACAGACACAGGCTTGACACCAGGGACGCTTCGGATTTTAAATAACCAGGTCAGTTTCAGTTTTCGGTTATAAGGATAATGAGCCACTTGGTTGTGTTAACCCTTGCAGAAGTTATCTTTGTGAAGATCTAGTTTCTCTTTGAATGCACTGACAGAAGCGCTGATACTACTTGATGAGTTAAGGAGTTCCAGGTGTTGAAAACACGATGGGAGAAACGCAGATTCACGCTAAGTTGATTCGATGGCGGTTTTTGAATTTTCTTGTGATGCCTTCGAAGATAGTCAGTTCTAGCATGAGAAAAAAGTAGAACATATCAGTACCGAAGCCAATATTAAGAATATGAAATGCCGGTATGAGATCACCTCGTTTCCTACGGTAAGACAGTGGGATTAAGTTTAGCTGATCTAGTCGTTCCTCGGAGGACAGATTCGAAAGGCCTACCACAAGCTTAGTACCTACTCTTTCGACATGCTCAAGTGCGTCAGCGCCGTTTTCAGGTATGGGCTGGTCGACTGAATGCAGTATTCCAAGTGAAGTCTAACGTAAGTAGAATAGAGTATTCTGAACATGTCCTGATCACAACCTTTGAAAGCTTTGCAGACGGACCATAATATGCGGAAGCCCTTTACTGCAGCTGCATTACAGTTTATTGAGGTTTTCAAATCATGGCTAATGATGATACCCAAGTCTTTCAGTTCGAAGACTAAAAGTAGTGGTGTACCATCAACGGAATACTAGGAACAATTTCTATGACAAATGTGCATTATTGCATTTTTGTTAGAGTTGATTTCCAGGCTCTAACTTTTGGACCAACCTATCAGTTCATCAAAACCCGCTTGAAGTCCATATCTATCCGCATCACTGCGTATGGCTCTCCAAATCTTCACAACATCGGCGAATAGCAGTACCGAAGAGTTGAGCAGTTTTGGTAATTCCTTGATATATAACAAGAAAAGTAGTAGACCTAGAATTGTTCCTTAAGGAACTCCACTTACTACAGGTTTCCACCCGGACAATATCCTACTAACCCTTATTCTTTGCCTTCTGTCGCACAGAAAGTTCCTAATCCAGGCTTGCAGTGAAGCACAAAACCCGAAAGAGGAGAGCTTTCCCAGTAATTTCACATGTGACACTTTGTCGAATGCCTTACTGAAGTCTGTAAACACAAAACCTATTGGCAGCTTGCAATCACGGGCAGCAACCCATTCCTCTTTTGCGATAAGGAGGTCAGTTAGACAGGAGTGTCCAGTACGAAAACCGTGTTGTTATTGTGCCAGAAAATTGGTTGATTTAACATGTCTAAGTACCTTACCACGAATTATTTTTTCTAAGACCTTAGTAACTATGCTAGCTAGACTCACAGGGCGATGGTTAGACACCAAATGGCGACTACCGGCCTTAAAAAATGGGCTGATTATGGCATCTTTCCAGTCTCTAGGGTGGTGAGTCTGAGTTAGGGACATATTGGGAAGATCTGTGACTGGCTCAGCAATAATGTCTGCTAGCGAAGATAGAAGTCTAGGATGTAACTCATCGTGACCCGGGATTTTCCACGTCTAAGATTAATGAGCTACTGTAAGACTCTTCCCTTTGTTGTGAACACAGTATATATTAGTGGAACATTACTGACACCACTATTAAGAACTCCATCGTCATGATCTACAGAGTAGACTTCACTAAATTAATTCGACAGACATTCAGCTTTAAAATATTTGATTCCACCAGACTATCGAACTTTTCATCCGTCGCCAGAGTGGGAATTTCACGTTTTGTTTTAGTTCTTCTGATGAATGCGAACAGTATTTCAGGACAATTTTGGCAATCTTTCACAAGCTGTTTCTCGTAGGAGATTGGAGACTGTGTAATCAAAGTTTTGCAAAGATTACGGACTTTACAGTACCCAATCTTAAGTGTTTCCTGTCCAGTTTCAGAAACAAGTCCTGTAAACGTTTCCTCTGCCTTATTAGTTTCATAATGTCTTTATTAAACCACGGAGGGCGATGTGAGAATCGTCGCGGGGTCGAACATGGAATAAATGGAGTCGTTACCTCTTCAAGTGAAGTCCTAAACCTGTTCCTTGCGTTCTCAATTGGTGAGTCTTTGTCAAAGGTCCAATCCATACTGACTCTACAATTTCTTATACTTGAAATGTCTTCACATCATACATTAGGTCTAGGGGAAGCAGTGTCATGACCAAACTCATTAGTACGAAAACCAAAGGTAACTGTCTTAGATCCAAAATGTCTTCACATTGGTGGGTTAAAACTAAATCTAATAACGATGGCTTGTGTTCAGAATTGTAACGTGTTACACATGTTACGTTTTGAACTAAAGCAGATTCTAATACCTTCAAAAGTAAGTCATTTTCGATGGAACTGCCCGATGCTGAGACTGTTAGCTTCGTCCAGTTTATGTATGGAGCATTCAGATCCCCAACTATACTAGACATCTGTTGCTTCTACTTCAGTTACGTATATGGATTAGAACGAAGTCATTTGCAAGGAAGGATGGACTACAGTAAATGACTGCGACAGTACAGAAACCCTGCTTTGACTTCAGCTCTCAACCGGCTACTTCACAGGTCCCGCATTCATGTGCTTCGGACGTGACTAATCGTGTGGATGTCATCCCGCACATAGAGTAGTATGCCTCTACCTTTGTGACCCACAACTTTATCTGTCCTTACGCAGTAATACCCTATGGGGAGTGGCGTAAATCTAAATCTTTTATTAGCCAGGTTTCAGTAAAGGGTACTATGTCAGGACCTAGTTCGCAGATTAGTCTCGAGGTCTGCCATTTTACTTCTAATACTGCGAACATTAGTGTAGATTACGTTCACTGTGTTGGAAGAGTTCCATCACCCACCCATACAGGCCTTAGAAGCATTCGCTTCCAAGACATCAAAGCCCAAAAACCCACTATTTTAAGATCGTCTTCCCCATTAGTTTATCAAGCCTTAAGTTTGGCGACAGCTTCTCTTCTTTTTGTGCGGTCCTCGAGAGGTCAGTCAGGTCTGATGCGGATATCCGAATTTCACAGTTTGAATGCGTTACTTAAGAGTGCATCCACTTCTTCCTTGTTGCCTAAAACAACCCTTAAAATTCTCTTCTCATCAGGTTTTTCATCCGTTTTCTTACCTAACCTGACTACTCGGGAGATGTGTACCCCTTTAGACTTTTCAGGTAGAATACGCCTGATGGCAGACTCAACTAATTTCAGGTCATGGCCGTGACGTATTGAAGGGTTTCTGTCTGATGACTCCTCAACATTCCAGAAGATCACACGGCGTTGGAGTTGAATCCTTGAGTCACGTGTTGACGGCCTTCGAGACCTTCTCAATAGGTTTCATAAGCTTGGTAGCTTCAGTGATAATCTTTGGCCGTTTCTTCGAATGCTTTTTTGGAGAAATCCATGTAGATTCGTTGACCACCTTTATAGAGTCACCGCTGTTACCAAAAATGCAGTCCTTTTGTGAATCCTCAGATATTATAGTTGGTGTACTTTTGCCCTCCATTTTCTCTTGCATCGAGTACGCTTCAAAATTAATGTAATCCCATCAATTAGATCACTAGCCTCCATTAGTCCATTAAGAGATCCTGTGTCAGATGTATTATCAATAACACTTGCAGTGTCATCATCTTATGCTGCATTGGAATGACAGCTATCATTTCCATATAGCTCTTTTTTGACGAGTAAAATTTCGACAGCTTCCTGGATTAGGGCTGACAACAGCTTCCAACAGAAATCACATAACCAAGGGGAAGCTGGTTCCCTGCAACGCTTGCACACGGCTGGTGTCAATCCGCTACAAACTTTGTGGAACCGACATCCACATACATCACATTTCATACCTTCATCAACCGGAAATTTACAGCTGAATAGCTCAGCTGTATATTCGTGCCTGATTGTATGTCACAGTTATATTATCTTTACGAACTTATTAGCCATAAATTTACACACAAAAAATCATGACTGCTGCCGAAAGGATTGCAAACATCTTCTCCAATATTCATCCAGCCAATGACTTTTGTATCAAGAAAGAAAACAGAAATATGCAGCAATATATTGCTACAGGGAGGCGCACAGGAATTCATAATCACTTGGCATAGTTATATTTTTCAGCCATCAGTTCAAGCACTAGTACTAGTCATTTGTGGTTTGATTAAGACAAAGCATTTCGGAGCCGAACTTTACTTTATTCCTTTTCCAAACTTTACAATAAACTCAAAATTTTTAGAATGAATGCTTATTCTGATCTAAATTTCAGTATAAGTTGAAAATGATGTACATATTTTATGCATCATTAAAAAATCCTTTAACAATTGGCTAAACAAGTTAAAAGTTTTAATGAGCTGAATACATCTACATACATGGCCTTAGTAATACCATTAGTAAGTACGCAAAATATGGGACTATACAGAGCATTTTGATTACTACAGTTAAGTAAAACACTAGATTCGAAACAGTCTTGACAAGTGACTGCCCACAACAGTAACGTGGAGGTTTAGCTTAACACATATCGTCTAGTTTTCTGAGCCTTGCCTTGCTTTACAAACCAGAAATCTATACAAAAGTAACACAACAGTTTATTTTTTCCCAGTAGTTACATATTTTGTAGAGGAATTTATCAATACAAGTGGCAATAAGTACTTTCTCGAGTGAGTTAAAAACTATTTGAGGTCTTGTGTGGGCATAACCTTTAGTTAAACAAGATCAATAGGACTATGAAGGTCAGAAACCGTTATCAAATGTTATATAACCGTAGTTCATTGACAATAATGTATTTTATTCACAGAATCCTAAATGAAGTCTCTTGCCGTATTAATTTAAAATAATATCCCACTGAATTCTCATTATGAAGGTACAATAGGTAGGTGATCATCCAAAATAAATACCATCTCATAGTCCAACGATAATTATTTGTGACACTGACAAAACCAATGGAGAACCTTACACATAGGTGCATCGGCTGAAGTTACCACACTTCACACTATTACACAAAGAACACGTGGATAGAAAAAGAGCTATATCAAAGTAGATAAAGTTGTGTAAGAGAAGAAACAATCTGAAGATAACGGTTAGTATAAATGTTAATGATCAGTCGTGACTAGCAGTGGAATCCACGGTGTGCACTTCGTCCTATTCGGGACTCATCAGCTGGATGTGCCTGCACCACAGTGAGTGTTGTTCCCACCGGAATTCGGACTCGGGGCGATCGCTTCAAATGCTAGAGCGTTATCCATTACACCACCGAGCCACGATAACCACTTCCTGTGCGACGGGCATAGTTTTAGTGTATAATTGTTTTTATATGATACCGTCGTTGATTGGACCTAATTGACCGGTCTCTATTGGCATATGGGCTCCTATGCGGATGCCTCGATATTGCCAGTGTTCTAATTATGTTAATGACATGTATATATATAATCCTAAAACTTGAAGCGTACAAAATAAATGGCAATCAGTTTCTAGTGGTATATATCAAAGTGGTACCCGACTTTGAAAAGGTGACTGTTCCAAGTGTTATCCAAACCATAACTAAATATTAAGGCGTGTCCTGAATTCCACTGCTAGCCACCATCCATCATTGATAACAAAATTGAAACGACTGGCGACATTAAAGCAAATACGCATGAGCGCATATTACAATAGAGGCCGGTCAACTCGGTTCAATCAATGACGAATAATGCAAGCAACAGCATATATGTCTATTCGTTGATAGATATGAGTTGCATTTCTTCCGATTATTTTGCGAGTAGACAGGGTTTTTCTTTGGAATCTGCATAAAATGTAAAGTCCATGAATAGAATTACTAAATTGCAGTTATTTTCGTCTCCTCAATCGAAATTTGTGATCATCACTAGCATATTTATACTGTGTGATGATTGAAGGTGAAGTGAAATTTTGGACCGCAGTCGGATTTGAACCAGCGATCACCCGATGCTCTACAAACTGACCTAAGAGATCCAACTGCTGACCAGATTTTTATTCCACTTCAATCACCATGGGTTTGGCCCTACTACTACGTGAATTCATGACACGTTACTGTCGCTTGATCGTATCCATACTGGCTGCCTAGTCAGGACCTCCCATCCCAATCCAAATCTGAGTTAGAGAGGGGGAGCATCATATTGATTATCATTTTCACTATCTGCGATGGCCATGTTTTGGCAGACTAATATTGATACTGCGTGATGATTCAAGGTGAAATGAAAATTTGGACCGTGACCGGATTCGAACCAGCGACCACTCGAATCCGACCATGGTCCAAATTTGCACTCCATTTTCAAGCATCACTCAGTATCAATACTAGTCTGCTAAACCTCATTATCTCAGTCAAAATGATAATAGCACTTAAAATATCTCTTACTCATTCAATGTCCTACTTTCTTTTCGTAGCTCGCATCAATGAAATCAGTTCCTTTGTCCGTAGTAGAAGAAAAGTGGAAAGACTTATCATTGCCCATTGAACGATTCCAAGAAATATGTCGCATTGGCAATTTCGTAAATTTTTGTGAGTGGAGGTGGTTTTTGGCACTTGCCGCATCCGACTTATGTGCCGTAAGTTTTTGTTGTATCACTTATTTATTGTAGGAGGAAACGAAACTTTAAATAAACTAAGCTTTATTGAATAAATATTCTAGTTTTTCTACCATCTTGTACAAAGTGCTTGCTCAGAAGTGTTAGCACTAACAGATACTAAACCATACCCAAAGTGTTTTGACTAGCTTTGACATAAATGGACAAAATACTAGTCTTACAATTATTTTTACACTCATAGATATAGACTTACATATTAGTTAAATGAAATGTTTTTACCTGATGGAAGAGATTTGTAGCTGGAGATTAGATGACATGATTTGCTGTTATCTAAACGTTAATGTTTCTTCTTGGACATTTCATCACTAGCCTTAGTAATACCATCATGAAGTTAATGTTGATAATGTCACTGGACCTTGTGATGATTTGACAACAAGAAAACATATCTCAAGTCAGATAATACTAAATTATGTTATGATTTTGAGCTCATAGTACCCAGGATATCTTCAAACTCAAAACTGAACATATTAGATTTGTTTATTTGATATATAGCGCTCAGTGATACAGTATTATTTACTTGATGACATCCCGAGCATAAATTATTACTGCTCATAATCATACCAATGTAATCACACTTCTTTCGATATCTGATTTTATAGTCCTGTCACCTGATTTTTCTTTGTTTTTTGATTGGTAGTAAAGTTTTCCATATCTCTGGTATAGGTGTTGCGTCATTCATATTACATGTGTCGGGTGTGGATTCGATGAACTAAGACTCAGTAATTAATCTCTCTCTCTCCACCTAGCTATATTAGACTTAAGTACAGTGGTTTTGTCCCACCCTATTGTGTGGTTGTGTGTTAATGAATGTAATGCAATGGCCGAGTGTTTTTCTAGATTATTGATCTTATTGGGGTCTGTTGTTCTATGCTTAGCTAAATTCCTATGTTCTGCTAATCTAACTGACCCCGACCGGCTAGTTTGACCTATGTATTTGACTTCACAGTCATTACATGGAATTTGGTAGATTATATCATTTTGCCTAATTGGTTCTATTGGATCTTTTAGCCGACAAAGCTTACCTCCAAGTGAGTTTGTTGGTTCAAGTGCCACCCTAATTCCAACCTTATGATACCATACAAAGAAGGAACATCAGAAAGCAAACGTACGATTCTCAACAAGGTTGGAATTAGGGTGGCATTTAACCAACAGACTCACTCAGAGGTAAGTTCTGTCGGCTAAAAGATCCAATAGAACCAATTAGGCAAAATGATATAATCTACCAAATTCCATGTAATGACTGTGAAGTCAAATACATAGGTCAAACTAGCCGGTCGGGGTCAGTTAGATTAGCAGAACATAGGAATTTAGCTAAACATAGAACAACAGACCCCAATAAGATCAATAATCTAGAAAAACACTCGGCCATTGCATTACATTCATTAACACACAACCACACAATAGGGTGGGACAAAACCACTGTACTTAAGTCTAATATAGCTAGGTGGAGAGAGAGAGAGATTAATTACTGAGTCTTAGTTCATCGAATCCACACCCGACACATGTAATATGAATGACGCAACACCTATACCAGAGATATGGAAAACTTTACTACCAATCAAAAAACAAAGAGAAATCAGGTGACAGGACTATAAAATCAGATATCGAAAGAAGTGTGATTACATTGGTATGATTATGAGCAGTAATAATTTATGCTCGGGATGTCATCAAGTAAATAATACTGTATCACTGAGCGCTATATATCAAATAAACAAATCTAATATGGAATTACATTCTACCACAGTGCCCAAGTTTTACACTTATATTAAAACTGAACAATCAATCATCACGAGACCGAGAAATGAGACACTTAATCTAATTGCATAATTTCTCTAAATTTGGTAAAACAATACCATTACTTAAATATGAAGGATAAAAATCAAAATAATAAGAATAGATATCATTCAGTTAGTAGGAAGCACAGATCTAAATAGTCATAAACATCACAGACTGACCTTGTAAAACTTGGAGGCACTGACCAGCTGTTTCGTCCTAGTATGAGACTCCTCATCAGAATGCACCCACAACCTGGCTGCGGATCGAACTCAAGACCAGGTTTCACGGTGGACTCGTTTACCACTCAGTCACTGTGTCAGAACTAAATGGTTCATAGTCTCCGACCTATATCAGTTGGCTATATAGCGCGACCTAGTGGCTGAGTGATTAACACTTTCGCCATAGAAGCTATAGGTCCTGGGTTCGATCCCCAGCGGGGTCGTGGGTTGTGTACTGTTGATAAAACAGCTGTCAAATCCCCCCAGGTAATCAATGGTTCTTTAATTATTGTCAGTCTGTGATGAGTACTACCTCAAAATTGAAATCTCCATTCACCTCAAAATACATATCTATTAAAGTTGGGTTAGTCAGTGTTTTAGATCAAGTAAATCAGGAATCTGAGTGTATTACACAAACAAAATGACAGAAACAACTAGAATCTAACATATTTTGTTCATACTACACATTATATCTGGATTTTGCACAATGATACAAACTCTTGAATGATTATTCAATCAGAAATGAATATGATAGTTAGTGGACAAACCCGTCTTCTACAACCGACTGATTCTAGGTGCAAGAAATAAAGACAAACTGCCTGATTCGGCCACTTCTATGTGCATTTATCAATTTAATTGCTCCTGTGGAGCTAGTTACATTGGGCGTACAATAAGGCAGTTCCATCGTCAAATTTCTGAGCACCACCCATCATAGTTGAACAAGGGACAAATTAGAATTATAAAAAGTTCCATACTTGCACATTTAGTTGACACAGGACATCAAGTGGTTACTAGAAAAGCCTTCAAAATCATCCTTCAGATTCCAATTAATTTACCTCATGGATTACGATCTTGGTTACTTCCCATAACAGAGGCGATCGCAATCCACCTTTACAAACCTAGCCTTTGTATCCATAAGAAGTTTGTTCAACCACTTTCATCACCGTGGCTGACAACATGATGTAACTTCTTGGTTTAATTTGTACACCTCTTCCCCCTTCTTGTTTCTATCACTGTTCATTCAGTTTCTTATCATTACGTAATCGCTTATTGTGGATAGCCGAACACTCACTAAAGTCACTCCATTTACTTAAGAAAAGCTTGTTTCATATTTCCAATTTTAGTAACTCTATTGATTATTCACATCATTATTTCTAAAACATCACCACATGATTGGTAATTTGTTTAAATTGTAAAAACTATACATTAGTGTAGAGCTCAGATGAAGACCTAATTGAAAAGGAATATATTTCTTCGTTCAATCAGTCTTTTTTCTAAAATGAAATATTTTTATGTCGATTACATTACTAGTTACACTAGGCTGACTATCAGTTCATATATCATATTTCACTAATATTATCAACTTTAATTTTGATTCAGTTTTTACTTTTTAAAGGCAAAGTTTGATGTATTTACTTTCAAGTTAAAAGAATACTCAACCAAGCTCTAAATTTTCAGTAGAAACTTATACGTGAACTACTTTTGTATATAAACAATCTCGGTGAGCTTTTATCACAGCGTATCTGTACAATGTTTAACAAAGATATCAATACAGATGAGATGTGAATATCCTTAAAGAAACCAAGCTGAATTTAACTGAATCTTTACAAAACTAACTTGATACAATCCCAATCTGTTTGCATGAATGAAGAAAAAGATACCCTAGACGATTCTCAGTGTATGACATACTTTCATCAATAGAATCAGTCAAATGTCAGTATTAAAATTATCCAGAAAAGCTTTAAAAATTATAACGGACGTGTCATAGTAGAATTCCTTGACATAAAGGTGAATCAAAATTATTGACTGATACTTATAATCTTCCGTTGTTATTCTGGGTTGAATTGCTCCACCTCAGATAACAGATAGGCCGGTATGCGAATGCTTCGATACTGCCTGAATATTTAATATGCCTTAGTTTACTTGGTCATGGCTAGTAGCAGAATCCAGAACGTGCGTTTCGTCTTCTTTGAGACTCGTCGGCTGAATTTACTTGCACCCGAGTGGGTGATATTGTTCCCACGGGGACGTGACCCCAGTACCCATCGCAATAGGTACACCCAGCTGACGAGTCCCGAATGGGACGAAATGTATCCCCTGAATTCCACAGCCAAGTGAACTATAGTATGATGGAATCAAAAGTGTTTCAATAGGAATGAGGAAATAAAATATTGCTTCATCTAGTTTCAACCCAACCCCATAAATCGACATCGCCGACATACGTGAGGTAAAAACTACAAGCATAGATTTACATATACTCTTCAATCGGTAATTTGTTCACTCATCACAGTTAACACACTACATATGTTCTTTACCTTTTTCAACAATTTGGTAACACAGAACCATCTGCTCATAAAATGGTAGATCAAGCTATTATATATTAGCTTGAACACTGTAAACTCAGGTTTACCATAACTTTATTGAAGGTTATTAGCATTAAATAGCAAAACAGCAGTGGAAACAACCTTTTATATTCATTGGAAATTGAAAATGATGAAATAATAAATACTATCTGAACTCGTAACACATTTAAAGTTAGCTCTTATGGTGTAAAATACCCATTGCTTTCCTTCATTAAAGATTTATGTATGCATGATCAACCTCATACACACAGATGAGCTGTGAGTAATTATAATGTACGTTAAAGCAGGTTATCTACCAATCAATCTCTTTAAAATGTCTTCATGAATAAGTGATTGTCAATGCTCATGATAATAATGCACACTTAAACGCTATTTTGAAAACTGACCGAAGAATCGTAAGTGATTCATGAGAGATATTTTACTTTTTTCATTATTTTCGAGGCAACTTACTGCTTTTCCGTTAGGAGGCAGCCTAAATCAAAATCAGTATTCAAAGTCATCGGTCGCCAAGATGGAAGTTTACGATTGCAACCTTGGTTTTTTGTGGGTGGGAAAATCTTATTGGATAACTTTGTCCTTAAGTTGACCAATGAAAATAAGTATCCAACTTATGACCTAGTGGCTTGATTTTCTGAGGGAAAACGGTATATAAATAATGTGACTTTTGTCAAATAAAGTTGTCTTCCTTACATTCTCAAGCCAGTTTTTGTCTTCTGATTTTTGTGTCTCAGCGAAGTATCAGGTTCTGAGGGAGAACAGTCATTATCACCATCCAGTCCAATTATAGCATCGTGTTATTAATATTATCCTCTCAGTCACTTCATTTCCCTTGCCTATGGAGGAAGTTTAATCGAAAAAATGGTTTCAATATTTAGTTTACTTTTACTATACACATCGCAAAAATATTGTAGCAGATAGACAATCAGTCCATAAAAATCTATAGAGAATTTTGCAGAATGAAATTAAAAGTGTATCTTACACTTTAAAGTGGTCTCTTATCTAAAACATTTTGGCAATTGGTAAGTTTACTAAGATAAGTGGAAACAGTCTGTTGGCTCAAATGACTCGTATCTGAAGGATAACAATTTATCGTCAACTAAGAGAAAAGACGAAGTATGCAAACTTATACTTGTTTTGGTTGGATGGACACAACGGACAGGAAGCCCTGGTTGTATAGATTTTGTGCTTGTTGGCACTCGTCAGCAAGGCGCTTCTGCAACCTCGACAGAACTGATGTCTCGGCTGGTATGCCTTGCTGACGAGTCCCAACAAGCACGAAACCTAGATCCAGAGCTACCTGCTGATTGCCTCCAACCAACTAACATCTACTAATGTGCACCACGATGCTGAGCCTCCTAGCTTGGTGGCAACATCGCAAATATGATCGATAGGAGGATTCGGTCTGCACTCAGGACTGGACAACACTAAATTGGTTACCCTCCAGTGACCAATCAATATATGCTTGTTATGTTCACATGGGAAGCAAACGAAGAAGAATTCAGTAGCGTGAAAGATAACGAACGCTATTGTAGACAAGACCATGATTTTGTGGGGAACACTGGCTAGCAGTGGAATCCAGGACACACGTTTTGTCCTACTTGAGATTTGCTAGGTAGATGTACATGCCTCTCAGTGAGTGGTTTTCTTCCCATCTATCACTTCGGTCCAATCAACGCCAGAGGTTCACAAAAACCGTCTTCTGTTTCTATGTTATCTCTCTTTTTGTATTGCAAAGTGGGGCAATGTAAATTGATAAAGCTTTCATGATAAGTTCGATGTTCATCTATCTAATCGATAGACTGTGTTTTTTAACCACCCTTGTTTTAATGCTCGATTTCTTTTATTGATTAATGTAAAATGACTAAACCTGGATACGTACAGTAAGATAACACAAGATTTTAATTCGCAAATCATATGATTTATATTGTTCTCAAATTTCTTGTTGTTTTTTTTTGCTGTTAAAAATTCTGTTTAATACCTTAGACATTACCTGAAACTTTGAAGTTGATTTGTGAACTTCTAACAGCTGATCCTGAAGGTGGAGCTGCCAGACTTCCATTTGAACAATGGTTAGAGTTTTATCGTTATCTTGCTAAAATTGATGATATACCTGAAGGACACATAAATCAAGTATTAGCTTACTTAAGTTTTGATATGTAAGTTCAATATTTGTTACTTTGTAGCAGTTATATAACTGACTGACTGACCGACGTAATTTGTTTGAATAATTAGCTTAACTTTGTCATTACTAGAAAATGAAAAAAATTGGTTCAGCAAAGAGTCTTTTCGGCGATTTTATTCATTCAGCTGTACAATCGTATTTTGTGAAAATGTGCAATTTGTTTCATGCGAAAAAGCAGTTGATTGGGCATGGCAGCGAATAAGTTGATATATATATATATATATATATATATATATATATATATATATATAAACTGGATGATGATTGAGGGTGAAATGGAAATTTGGACCACGGCCTAATTCGAAGCAGTGACTACCAGGTTTCCGACCCGATGCTCTGCCAACTGAGCTACGAAATTTGGAGCATCGAACCGGGGACCTGGTGGTCGCTAGTTCGAGTTCGGCCGCGAATTCCAAATTCCCTGGACAGAACTTCCTTTGCAGCAATTCTCACAGTAGGGCTCACCAGTTGCCCTATACTTATTAAAAGACTGAAATACTAGATCTCTCATTTGGCCACTTCTGTGTGTTTATATCAACTCACCTGCCCCTGTCGAGCCAGATATATCAGTTGTTAGACACGGGTCCCGTCCAAAAACAGGTCAAGGACGCTATCCTACGTGGTTAGAAAAAGGTAACAGCAGATCTATAAAATGTGTGATGATGGAACACCTTGTTGACACTGGTCATTCAATTTCAACAATCACCTCTTTCAAAGTTATATACAAAGTGGAAAGAAACTTATCGAAGTCAGTGCACAACCGCCTCCTTAGTATTGCTGAGGCTTCGTCAATTCAGGTAGTAAAGCTGGAGTTTTGCACATAAAGGAGATTTGTTGAATCCTTGCTCCGTTTATGGTCTTTAGCGCTTTAAAACGTCCCCCACCCACTTTTAACTTTTTCATTCTGTCCATTTCTGCATATTATCAACTATTCCTTTTTGCTATACTGGCTTTGATAACAATTCATTCATTAAATATTTTGTTATGTTACTCAACTTGTTATTCAAACTTAATCATCCCTATTACTATTTGTTGATATGCTTGTAGTTCTCCGTTGTTTTACTGGATCGAATTGTTCGACCTCTATTAGCATATGAGCTTCTATGCAGATGCCTCGATAATGCCTCAATATTTATTATGAAAGTTTATTTGGTTGTGGCTAGTAGAGGAATCCAGGACGCGCGTCTTATCCTATTTGGGACTCGTCAGCTGGATGTACCTGTACCACAGTGAGTGATGTTGTTCCCTGTATTCCTCTACTAGCCACGACCAAGTATATTATCATAATAAATATTCGGGCAATATTGAGGCATCCACAAAGAAGCCCATTTGGCAATAAAGGTCAAACAATTCGATCCAGTCAAACAAGGTAGAACTACAGGCATATCAACAAGTAGTAATAACTAGTACCTGTTGTACAAGAGGTGACTATCATATCTCTATGGCCTAGTGGAAAACGCTTTGGCACTTGAAGAGATGGGTACGGGGTTCGAGTCTCAGTGGGATAAACATCACTCATTAGAGTACAAATACATCCAGGTGACGAGTCCGAAGCAGGACGAAACATGCATCTTGGATTCCTCTACTAGCCAAGTATATTAATCACCTTTATTTAATTCTTATGATATCTTGAGCAGTACTTACTAATCTAAGCAACCCTGCAATTTAACCCTGCTTGTTACTATGCCTTTCGGTTACTTTTCAGTATTTTTTGTAAATATTTCAATTATTTTAGGATGAAAATGATGTTTCAATTTTTTATATTTACACATATACCACCTTGTTTTTTTGCCATGCTTAACTAACTGCTTCCATATATGGAAAAAATTGTATATTCTCACCAAAAAGATTATAGTATAAATGCAACTGTACAGTTTAGCGGAATTGATGACATACAAACTTGGTAGACGTGAAAGCCAATCACATTAATTATTCATTCTCGTCAAATACCCAACCAATTGATGGATTAAAAGCGAAGGGAACCAAGATTACTTTTAAACGTCACTCTAACAACTAACGTGAAAACCAGATGGAATAGTACATTTGATAGACCATACCAAAACACTGATGAGTTCTGACTAGCTGACATAAGGGTCATATAAGAGTACGGCAACGTAAAATAACAACGTGCTAAATGGTGTGGATGCTTGACCGCGTGCATTTAGATTAGTAAGTCCGTTAAAACTTTGAAGGTTAGCACCAATGTTCAATCCCGTCAAACCCTTGATTATTGATCTCGGGAAATTATTTGCCGCTACATGTCTCTCCTTGGCGCACTATTTATTATTCTTTATATTTAATGATTAGTTTATAATCTAGTTACCATAGCTACAGCTTGAAATACAACCAATGTGAGTCCTAGCAACTAATATCATTTTTTTGAACAACAAAATTTGACATAATGAATCTAACAACGGAAATAATTAAATATAAAAATAAAATGATAATAACGATCTAAGAGTACAAATACTAATCTAAAGAAAGGAGGAGTCGAAGAAACAAAAAAGGGACGAAGCACACCATGACCAAAGTTAAGGTCAAGGTAGGGACAAAGACTGTACATACTTCTTTTCAACACAAAGATCAGGCTTCAGTTCATAAATAGCCATGGCTTCTGCTGTTTTTAGAATTTGAAGATGGAGGAAATGTGTGGTGTTTGAATGAATTCAATAGACAACAATTTAAAGGTGATACATTATCAGATATCCTAAAAATTCTTTCCAGATCAATCAGTAGGACTTTCCTCTCAGCCAAACTTAATTTAATCTTTATCAAGCATAAATCGTTCTCCGTTTGTGTAAAAGGCAGTATCCATCGAAAGGCTACATCCATATGTATCTACCAGTTCACCTGCTCTTGTAGAGCAAGGTACATCGGCCCTAGTCAGAGATTATTGTCAACACGTATACAAGAGCCTATTCCTTGCTGGTTTTATAAGGGTGAAAAGAAATGCATCAGAAGTTTCATCCTTTCACATTTAATCAATTTCAACCATTCAACCGATGAGGAGCGAGAAGATGGGTATACGCTGGTTGATCAATGAAAAGACCCTAGAAAATTTAGATGACTGGCTTTTCTTTTCTTGCTTAAAGCTGATGCAAACAGTAATTGAAGAATTAATCTTGGTGACTGGCAGAGGAATAGTGGACACACTTTTCGTCCTATCTGAGACTTGTCACCCGGATATACCTGCACCTCAGTGAGTGATGTTGTTCCCCAGGAGGCTCGAACCCAGTGCTTTTCGCTTCAAACGCCAAAGCGTTATCCACTGAGACACGATAGCCACCTCTTGTCCAAACAAACAGTAATTGAAGAAAATTAGTTGGTACATGATAAAAATCATCATGAATGACAAAGAAAGTCCAGAGAAAAAGTAGTGACAAGGGAAATCCTCTTGAATTTGAGATAAATAATCAGTACACTATCTGTGAATGACAGAATACAGTTGAACAAGATGCAATGCAAGTAAATACTGCAAAGCAATCTTTCAAATATATGAAAAAACTAATTAAAAATTTTACCGTTGATTAGACTAAGATGAATTTTAATTGATAAACCATCTTTGATTTACACGGATGATGACCACAATTGCAATGAAAACCTGATCTTTGAGGGAGTTGTGGGGATATGGGAATATTTCAAGTTGTTATTCATCGTAGACTGACATCAGTTGGAAGAACAAAAGAAACCTGGGGGCGCTGGACAGCTGTTTCATCCTAGTATTGGACTCCTCAACAGTGCACACCCACAACCCCACACCAGCAGGGATCGAACCCGCGGCCTTCGGGTTCCGATTCTCACCCAGTTACTCAATGGTAACGTGCTGGCCACGGAACCTGAAGGCCGCGGGGTCGTGGGTGCGCAATGCTGAGGAGTCCAATACTAGGATGAAACAGCTGTCCAGTGCTCCCAGGTTTCCTTTGTTCCTGCAACTGATGTCAGTCTACGATGAATAACAACTTGGAAAACCTGATCATAGCATAATTCAAACAAATAAACTGTCGACCACAAAATCCTAACCCAGTCAGCCAAAAAAAAGGGGAAATGAGGGGGAAAAGTAGACTTTCATAGGGAAGCTGTTTTTGAAAGGCGTACAAAGTTCGAAAAAAGGGGAAACGTAGACAATTAGGCGACATTAGTGGGGAAACCATAGCGCAGCCGCCACATCCATTGATGGAAATGTTTAAGGGAATCTTAATATAGACTACTGACCATTAGATATAATTTTAATGTTTTGAGTATGGATCCTTTAACGGATTATGTTAAATTGAACCAATTGAATACATTTTTCCTACTTCATGCCTTTCTTCATTATAATTTGGAATGAAATTGGAAATGATAGGGCTTCTCCAAAAATTAAGGGTGTTTTATACATAATGAATTGGGAACACATTATAATTCAGGGTAAATTATGCGGATTAAATGGATAAATTATGCTGACTTAAGGGGGGAAAAGTCGATTACTAAGGGGAAATTATGCGAGTTTAAGGGGGAAAGTGGACAAGGTCAAAATAGGAAAGCGACTTTTAGTGGGAAAAAGCGATTAAAAAGGGGGAAAAGCGTAAAAAGGGGAAATCGGTTGCATTTCCCCCACTAATATCGCTTTATTTTACTATAGAGCTTCCCCCTTATTTCCTACTTATTTACCAATAATTAGAATTACTTCCTTCTCTTCCGACGGTATAGGAACTGTTGATTGGTTTTATTTTCACTTCTATATTACTCAACTTTTATTCAATCATAGTTTAGTGTTACACTTTTGTTCCTTTATGTTATTTTCATTTTATAGTGCAAATCAAAATGGTTCAATTGCACCACGTAATTTTATGCATAAAAATTGTCCAAAATTGAATCCAAGAGAAGAAATCACTTCATTTGTGTTGATGGAATCATTAACAGAAGATTGAAATGTTACAATCAGTATTCATTATGACATAATATATCTCTGTCTGTCTATGTCTAAAATATACACTATTTCAATGAATAAATTATATATACTTACATTAATTGTTACTGTTGGTAAATAATTTATTTGCCCTGGGTGACGATTGAAGGTGAGATGAAAATCTGGACCGCGGCCAGAGTCGAACCAGTGACCACCGGGTTACCAGCCCGGCGCTCTATCAACTGAGCTACGAGGTCCGACTGATGACCAGAATTTTATTTCACTTCAATCATCAAGGGTTTTGCCCGACTACCATGTGAATCCGTGACGGTTTACCTCCGCTTGATCGTATTCACACTGGCTGCCTAGTCAGGACTTCTCATCCCAATCCAAATCTAACTGGATCAGAGAGGGGGAGCATCATATTCATTGTAATTTGACTATCTAAGATAGCCGTAGTTTGGCAGACTAGTATTTGTACTGGGTGATGATTGAATAGTTTATTGTTGAACACATTCTTCAAAGAAAGCTCAAACAAACAAACTAATGTTGATTGAACCAAATTCAAGTGTTCATAAAATGAACAGAAATAATATAAACTGGATGAATTCTAATTTGATCTATATACTTTTATTTTTGTCTTCAGTAATTTCTTGTTTGTTAAGTGCAATTGACTATTTGAAATTCTTCGAGTGTATTCAACTTACTGATGATGAAGTTTAAGCTAGTCTTGTGTTAGGAAATCAACTTCCTATTTGAATAAAGTGAGAATAGAGACATTTACAGAATAAAACGAAGCCATTTTATTTCATAGGCTTTCATGAGCTATGAACAACCTACAATTTAAACGAAATATTAGTGGTAATAATCGTATAATATACTTTAACTATATAGAAATAAGTATGTTGTGTATGTGTGCTATGTTATGTATGTATGTCACGTTATTACTAATATCTGATTTCTTTTCTGTTAATGTCTTTGTCCTCGCTGTGCTCTAATTTATCGAGGGAACCTGATGCATGAGAAGACCCTAGAAGATTTGGATTTCGCCGATCATGATTAACGTCTCATGTCTTGTCGCACAAACTTGAAGATCTACAAGCAGAAACCAACAAGTTGACAGAAGAGACGAGGCAGCGAAGATGGGACTTCAGACGGAAGTAGAGAAGACAGAAGTGATGAACATACCCAACCAACAACGACGACAACCAGCACTAATCACCATCAACGGAAGAAATCTAAACGAAGTTGTCTCTTTCACCTACCTACCTGCCTGCCTGCCTGCCTGCCTACCTACCTACCTACCTACCTACCTACCTACCTACCCACACACCTACCTACCTACCTACCTACCTACCTACCCACACACCTACCTACCTACCTACCTACCTACCTACCTACCTACCCACACACCTACCTACCTACCTACCTACCTACCTACCTACCTACCCACACACCTACACACCTACCTACCTACCTACCTACCTACCCAAACACCTACACACCTACCTACCTACCTACCTACCTACCTACCTACCCACACACCTACACACCTACCTACCTACCTACCTACCTACCTACCCAAACACCTACACACCTACCTACCTACCTGCCTACCCACCTACGCAGTAACGTTTCAACTACAGGTGGCAGCACTGATGATGATGTCAAAGCAGCCAGGATTGGAAAGACAACAAGGCAGGCCTTCCTGCAATAATCTCAAATCACTGTGGAGATCTACTGCACTGCACTCAGCATAAAGCGTCAACAGCATATGCATTTTCAACACCAACATCAGTCAAGTCAGTGCTTCTATCTGATGGCTGTGAGACTTGGTGTGCTACGAAAAGCGTTTCCAACAAACTACAGATATACATCAACCAACAGCTGCCATCCACGCTCACTCGACACTGAAGATCAGGTCAGGTGGCCAGAAAGAATAAGCAAGGAAGAACTGTGGCTGGCTGGCAACGAACCAAACAAGAACCTATTGCCCAACAAATGTGAAGAAGAAGAAGGAGAAGAAAGTGGAGATGGATTGGATTGGACATACACTGAGAAGATGGTTTGGGGAGATCACACCCCATGCATCAGGTGAGGCCAGGTCGTTGAGTGGAATCCAAATGGTAAACGACGAGTTGGGCGTCCGAGGTGGGGGTGACATGGAGGAGATGGTGTGAGGGAGAAATGAAAGCTTGTGGAGAGTCGTGGAGCCAGGTTGATAAGACTAAAGGGAACAGGGTGAAATGGTGATGTGCTACTGAAGCCCTATATTCTACTTGGAACCCAAGGGAGAAATAATTATAAAACAATAACAAATAATGCTGTCACTGTGTGCATTATCATAGAATAAACAAATCTAACATAGAATTGCATTCTACTATAGTGCCCAAGTTTTACACTACTCACTAACAACGAATAATTTCTATCACTTTCTCGATGAAGGTTTAACTAGTGTTGAAAGGAGAACTATGATTAGACTCAAAGTAACCTATACACAATGAGAAGTGTATTCGCTGAGAAATGGCCTCAAAATCACAACCTTAAGGCTGCTGGAAAACTTCTAACTTGATGTTCAAACTATTTTCACCAAGATATCAAGTTTTAAGCGGTAAACTGATATTTAGCAGACAAATTTATATAGATTAATCTATTGCTTTTCAGTCCCTAATTCACTTTCCGTTTTGAAAGTGTATTCGCTCCAAACTTGCTTTGTTTTAGGTTGCTTAATGCTGAAGAGAATTTATTGAAAGGAATATTCTTCTGTCAGACTATCCTTAGTAAAAGTAAAATAGTCTGAAAATAGTATGATGGAGACGATATTTTCACACAACCGGAACATACTACTGATGTCATTGCTTGATGAACACTACCTTGAAATAAATCACTACACAAAAATCTCCAAGCTGGATTACTGTTTACTATTTCTTGATGATATTCTTCGAGATGAATTTCCTGAAGTTCTAGTGAGTAGCCACGACCAGTGGTGCAAACCAAGCTGGGTGTGAGGACAGATGCTCACCTATGGTACTGAATAATCCTCACACAACGTCGACAATTGACTGAAGTGGTAAAATGTGAACCATTGAACTTTGACCCACTGGTTGAGTAGTAACTTGCCCTATGCGCAACCTGACCGTCCTTTACGAGATCGCTGGTGTCAACTGCTAAGAAGTTCCACGCCTTGAAGAAACAGCTGTCGAGTGTTCCCAATTTTTCGGTGGCTATGCGACTATTATCGATCCGTGATGAATACTACCTTAGGAACCTTCAGGACCATGTATTAATGAACCTTTTGTTATGTGTTTGCAGCACTTCGAAGCGTCTTGACAAGCTTAAATGCATAAATAACTTGAAGAACATTTTATATCATATAAAAGTTGCCAATTTTTGGTGAGTGGGAGGAAGACATTCAAATGGTCAAACCAAAATGCATGTGTTAGCAGCAAACAAACAAATATAGATTGAATAAAATGCTGAATACGTTTACACAATTGTTATTTATTTAGAAGAGTGTCAGCTGAGGTCCTCAGTTACTGATTCTTATCGCTTGGAGAAGTGAAACCAGGAGTTCTACTCTACTCAAACCAACAATTAGTGATTTCAGATAATAATACCATGTCAGTGGAGCGAACCAGTAAGCCTATGTGTTGACAGCCTAGTTCAAGTCAAAAATCTAATCATTGCACCTTTGTTCAAATCAAAGATCTATCTACTTCTGTTGAGTTCATTGTTTTTCAACTTGGTTTAGGTGTTAAATCCATCAAGAATGAACGATTTTAGAACATATATTAGCAAAACTGACAGAGATTTTTCTTCCCTTAGTATCAACAAAAATAACCAAAGAAATGACTATAATCTTCCCAAAGTTAAGAAGTTTCGTTTCACTTTTGTATTGATCTTCACAAATTAAGTTAATTCTAGATACTGAGAAATTACAGAGCAGATTTAACCCCAATGAAATGCTTCTCATCGTCGTTCTACTCAAACTTTCTCCCAATTCATGTTTTAAAAGTTCATCTATTAATAGCCTCAGAAACTAATGCCTGCTTGAAGTATAGAAAAGAGATTAGTTTTGTGTGACCTCAGAGACCATGGGAGATCTACTTATCACTTAGTTTATATAGCCTCTTTGAGATTGCTTAACTGAGAAGTGATTGTACAAATAACGGACAAGAAAAACTTATACTACTTGCTTCAGAGTTCCACTGTGCAGACAGTAGCATGCTACTTCCCCAAAAGAAAGGCAGCATCAGCATGATGCCACTAGTCATCTGTAAGCATTACCTTACTACTTTCACACCCTGTCCAACCAGTAGTAGCACTCTCCCTCAGAATCCCCCCCCCCCATCTTAGAGTAACAATTTAAACTATAATGGTAACTACTTTCGTCTTACCACTATCCAACAGACTTTTCTGGTATGAATGAACCTCGAAGGAACAAGCGTTACAGCCGGTTTAAATCGTTGGTTCATTATGATATGCGAACTCTACCATCATACCTGGGTAGCAGCCATAGACTGGGACTTCACAAATTTCACTACGTGTAGCGAGTTCTTAAATCACCACCCACCGGTAACCTAAAACCTCAGAATAAAACGGTACTTTAAACAAAATTTATAAATGAGATATTTATTGTCAGGAGTTTATTTAACCTTGAAAAGTTAAAATTATTTCTTCAAGCATACCAAGGCTTTGGTTCAGTCTTACTACCAAACTGAATACCGGTTCGATTGTAAAATGTGTTGTTTACAATACAAACTCGACCATGTGGTGATTTTTTAAATGAATCTTTTCCAATCCAATCAGATAAACGCCATCCATAATCCCATGATATTGGCAATGGATAAGGGAATTTATCTTCTGGTGCTTTGTGATAGCGTTTATCCAAATACTGTTTCCTAAAGTGAAAAAAAAAGTAAAGTAGATAATAAAACTCCTAAACATTTGATGATAGATTATCCTTTGCACAGATCGAAGTTAGTATGAGCTAATAGCAGTCTAACAGAAATGACGAAACTGTCCATTTACTACTCCATTTCCAAGGGTATCCTCCATGGTTACCTTCACGCTTATTCAATGAAATAGGAAGTGAAAATCTGGATTGTGTTTCCGCCTTTTAATTAACAGTCATGTTAAAATGTTTAAAACAATTAACAGGAAAAAATTGATCTACATTTAATGCCTAACAGGAACATTAGTCCACAAGTTATAATAGACACATATGACACCACTTTATGATATAAAATAACCGTATATTATTAAACTTCCGTTTATCAGAACCGGTTAACTGACCGTATGATAAACAGTCTTTCTTGAACCACTATTATCCACTAATATAATGAACCGAACTGTTCTACCTCTTTTGGTAGACAAACTTTAACACAGATGCTTCGTTTCTGTCTGAATGTTCAACGAATGATATCCATTTCACAAGAGATACCTGTCGTGCCCTAGTGGATGACGCTTTAGCGCTTGGACTTAAGAATACTGGGTCCGAGTCTCAGTGGGAACACCATCACTCACTGGGGTGTAGGTACTCACAGCTGATGAGTCTGAAATAGGACGAAGAGCGCTTCTTCGATTCCAATGCTAGCCACCAAACCAGCAACTACAGGATTATCTACCATATAGATGTATATTATTAAAGAAACAGACATTCAGTGGTGTGTCCAGACTTTATAGTCTTTGCTAAGATATTTCTTTAGTGACTGATATTGGCTGGGTTCAAATAGAAAAGCAAACAATGAACTGACCAAGATATGATACCATTCTATGAAATCACAGACTGCTAGCCTCAGTCATATCAGTAAAAAATGTGTTTTCCCAGCAGTAGTAATCAAAATATTAGGAATAATTCGTTGCAGCCCCTTGGTAACAGAATTCTAAACCTAACACACTGACCCATGACTACTCACTTTTTATCTTCAAACTATGGACGTTTTATTAAACAACATTTAGCTAGTTCATCACTTTTCATATCCTTTTCATCGTATATGCTAGTATATTTCTACCTCTACTGATTTCATCAATAAGCTGTAGTAAAATGTAACAACATGAACCCTGGGAATATTTTTTGTTTCTACTTTGTTCTAAATATCTGTTTATCTTTCCTTACTTTATAGTATTACATCTTCAAAGTACCCCTTAGTATAACTCCCAACAATAGAATAGGCAATTTATTTGACCATCTGAAGATTATCTAACAGCAAATTACTTTTTCCTGAAATCCCCCCTTGCATGTTTACTCATATTGTTGAATGTTACTTTCGAAGCGTTTCACTCAACACATATTTACATTATTCATGTCTTGCATGATTGTTCAATAGATTTAATTTACCTTAGTGTTGAAGTTACTATGTGCATTTCAGTATATGATTATTACTGTACACACACACACACACACACACACACACACACACACACACACACACACACACACACACACACACACACACCTCTAACGGTTAACACACTTGGGAAAGCTTCCCTTTAGTGTTTTCAACCCATTTATACAGAAAGGAATCCAGAATCTTTTACTCAGCTGGATTAATTCAGTATATCAAACTTCATACGCATCACCAAAAGGTGAAGAACAACAAAATATGAAGGATATCAAAATGAAAAGCAAGTAGACGATGAATACATCAAGAAATAAAGATATCTGAAAAGTATACAATATGGTGAAGATTTATAAAGAGGTGAATATTGGATTTGTTTACTTCATTGAGATGGATTTCAAGACATATCATGATGATACAATATGAAATTGTGTTTGAATCTTTTGATAGTAACTAGAATGATATTTTATGCTTCCAGGATTCCAATGCTAACCATTATCCATCTATAATATAAAATTTGAAAATACCTAGAAATATCGAGGCACCCGCACAGGAATTCATAGGTGAACAGCAGCCGATAAATTCAGTCTAGTCAGCAACGGAGATTCACAAGTTATAACATCATAGAGTTAAGTTAGCATAAATTTGGTCTCTAAGAAATCTCATCATCATTATCAACATAGGACCAGGCATTGCTGCATAGCGGTCCGAGTTGCCACACCTCACGTCAGTTCACCAAGTAAAAAGGTAGTGAGGCGAAGGATGAAGATAAGTGAATGCAGTCAAAAGAAATATAAAGTACGAGAAGAAAGAAAAGAGGAGTGACAAAATGGTGAGATTCGGTATAGCGTTGTTAAGATGAGGATAATGTGTGTATACATCTTAGCCACTGACATCGGTTCTGAGCAATATCACCTACAGGAAGTCTCCAACCACTGGTTCCTCTTGTCACATGGACCTCAACCACCTAGTCTGCATCGACCCACATGGCTTAAACCAACAGTCAGAGACTTCATACATTGGTGCCATGTTTTAGTCTGGCCACCTCGGGCCTTTTTCCAGTCTGGACACACCTCACCCAACATTGTGTGATGAGGCAATCGGTGACTAGGCATACGTAACACATATCCCAACCATCTCAGTCGATGAAGGTTCACAACCTCGTCAAATGACTTACCTCTTCTCCCTAAAACTCTACACCTGACTTCTGCATTACTCACATGGTGACACCACGGAATACGTCCTATACTACGAAGGCAACGGTGGTCAAACACCTGAAGCCTTTTTATATCTTCCACTTTCAATGACCATGTTTCACAGCCATAAAGTAGAACAGAGCAAACTGCTGTGCAGTACAGGCGACCCTTAATAGACAAACGAATATCACGGCGGCGCCATAGGTGGCGCAAATTGGCAAAAGCCAATCGAGCCTTTTGTACCCGTGCAGAAATCTCATCGGCGACTAACCCACCGGGGTTAGTCTTAACTTATTGACACAATTCAAAAGTACACTGATGTGGTAGGTTCTTAAGCTTAATAATGTAACAAATACCGATTCTTGTTTCTGTTCACTGACTAGGCCAATGACAAATCACAAGCTAAGAAAGGAAAACAGTAAACCAAAATGGTTATTTTCCACTCTGATTGATGAAGAACAAAGCGATAGTGAGTACGTATCTATAGATCTCCGCTGATATAACCTCCAAGTTCCTGAAGCCAAATCAGAAATGTTATATCTAAGTAGCATAACTTGAAGTTTTTCGAAGTATAGGTCAAATATTTAGAAAATAAGGATATCCCATAAAATTAAGCCAAACTGGTTGATTTAATAACTGTGTTCTTCAGTTATAATCTATTATTTATTGAAAATATAACTGAATAATGTACAATTTGTTGACAAGAACATGGAGCACAAACAACATTAAAAACGGATCCTGACAGTTCTAAAGAAGACAGCATTCATGAATATTGGATTTAAAGGAGATACGACGGTAGAGATACTCAAGAATCAGTCGTCCAAAAGAAGTGAAGATGACTTGTTTTCCCCTCATCTTCGGATTGCTTTCTCCAGTCAACAACTGATTCAAGGATGTGTAAAAGATATACTACTGCTTCAGGCTACTTCAATGTGTGTTTACCAATTCATCTGTTCATATGGACCTGGTTACTTATGCCCCACAAAGTATGTTCTATCCAAGCTGATCTACCTGCATCATCTTACATGGCTGTCTAGAGGAGAATACAAAGACATTAACAGCTCCACCAGAGTCTTTCCTTAAAGTTATTTATAAAGACAAATCAAATATTTCGAATGGTCTACGGACTTACTACCTGAAAATAGCAGAAGCCTTGGCAGTCAATAAGTTCAAGCTTGGTCTCTGCTTTCAAAAGAGGTACGTCCAACCTTTAATTTTACCTTGGTCATATACCTCTCAAAGAATTTTTATTCATTACTTATTTCATTAATCAATATTACTACTTTCACATCCTTTATTTACTCTGTAACTGACAATTTCAATATGACTGTCACATTTTTCCTACCTGGTCTATCACTGCATAGACTATTGTTGCAATCACTTTGTAATTACCATGCATCGACGTTTCAGACATCAAGTTGTAATCCATTAATGAATACCTATTTTATTCATAACTTTAAATATGAATGCACAACTTCTGAAATGATTCGTCGAAAAAAAATTTTCTTCGTAGGATTTTCTCTCGATAAAAATTGATTTTATCATGTAAATGAAACTTAAAACGACGGTGCGGTTGCTAAGCGACAAATTGAGCTGAACACTTTTTTTCAGTAGACAAGACAACCTTTCACCAAATATCATGATGCTTAGAAGATGAGTATAGAACCATGGTGAAACTTCTGATCACGGATTGTGTATTTTGCAAACACCTTATTTGATCCTACTATGACTAGTCCACTTAAGTAGCTAGCCAGAATTTAGGTAGGTTGAACAGTCCTACCCCTTGAACTAAGCCCATGCAGGTACATTACTGATGAGCTTGAGGTCGAATAACAGAAACGACCGTCGGGTGTTTAGATCACCTTGATCTAGCTAGCGAACACTGCTGGTAAGCGTGAGTGACCTATAACTGCTTATTTCAGCTAGTAGTATATTCTAAACATACATAACTTAACCAATCCCATAAGGCGTATTTCAGATATAAGTTCAACCGTGTCTTATTTAACTCATTGTCAATGAATTTACATCTGATGAAAGGCGATTAATAAGAGGATTATGAGGGGAAAATATCCTGCAGAAGAAAGCTACCGTCGTGGTGGAGAACATTATTATCATCAGCATTACTGGCAAACTGATTGCCCAGTATAGAATTATTTGATAAATTGGTTGAGATATTTGGAAACACGTTAAATTTGATAAAAGTATGAGTCACTATAGACCTTACACTGAAATATGGATATTATTTGTTGACCAACTCTTGAATTCATTCATCAGCTGTTCTGATCAAATATAATAAGAATAAAAGATGCGCCAACTTTTCTGCTGAATGATTCAATATCAAACAATCAGTCCCTTTAACTCAAGTTTCATTGAAATAAAAATTTCGAGATTATTAGCTAATTACGAAAAGAATGTAGGTTATTCTGAAAAATTACTTTTACAAACCATAAAAAAACACAAAAAGGAGGGATTTCTGCTGAAAAAAACAAAATCACCTCTGAACTTTCAAATCAAAACCTTATAAACTGCATTGACTGACTACAAAAATATCCCCATAGAAAATCTTGTCAAATTTCCAATTGACCACATAAAATTATCAAACCTAGTTGAACTACTTATGAGTAGCTTCAGAGTATTTTAAGAATTTAGTGAGGAATATCAGTTTAGGAAGAAAGTAATTGTGATTATTTTTCTTAGATTATGCTGATACATATCTCATAACAGACAAATAGTGAAGTCAAGTCAGATTTTTAAAAAATATATAGGTGTTCCCAATTGATGTGAAAATGAAATTCATTTGACTGCAGGTTGAAATCTCATCGTACCTGGGTTTTCTCTAAACTTTGAACATCATCACAACAACAGATCTATACTTGACAGGAATGTAGCTAGTTCTATGCTCCTAGATAAAAATTCCAACATACTGACATTTGTATTATCTTTGACTAACTATTTTCCATTTGACTTGTATTCGGTTGCTATGTTATTTCGGTCAGATATTTTGGATAATTTATTAGGTAGAAGATTTTTATGATAAGAATAATATATACACCAAGTCAGATGACTAGCTATTCTACCTTCTGATCATTAAGTTGGACTTTGGAGACGATAATCGCCTATAAATCCAGTGAAAACACAGTTATCAAAGTCATGTTCTGAATATTCTATTTCGCTAAACTTAATAAGACACTAATTTAGAATTTCACACATCTACTCATATATACAACAGAAATTAAAGCCACCTCAGAGAGGCACCCAAACAGTTTAGAACTTCATTTCTATCAGTTAAACAGTTTAACATGGAAATGATTTTTTAAAAACTCTTATAGTAAGGCATTTTGTGAACCTTTATTTTGAACTGTATGTATCGAAATAATAAGCTTTTATCACCTCATAAAACGGATTTTCAACACAAATGTCAAGTCATTGCTCCTGTATGGTTCGGAGACTTGGCGCGTTACGAAAAGCATGTCCAAAAAACTACAGGTATTCATCAACAACTGCCTACACTGGCTCGTTACTGAAGCTCAGATGGCCAGAAAGAATAAGCAACAAGGAACTCTGGATGGCTGGCAACGAACTAACCAAGAACCTGTCACTCAACAAATATACAGAAGAAGAAAGTGGAGGTGGATTGCATTGGACATACACTAAGAAGACCATTCGGGGACATCACGCGCCAGACCATGCATTCGAGTGGAATCCAGATGGGAAACGGCGAGTTGTGCGTCCGAGGCGGGGGTGACATGGAGGAGATCGTGTGAGGAAGAAATGAGAGCTTCTGAGCTGTTGTGGAGCCAGGTTCAAAAGATTGGAGTGAGCAGAGCGGAATGGAAACGTGGTACTGAAGCCTTATATTCCACTAGGAACCCAAGGGATAAACAACGATAATAATAATACTAACAATGAACCTCATAAAAAGGTTGTGTGAGTGCTGCACCACCTTTTGTTGGTATTGAAATGAGATCTCTATGCTCACAATCAGCGAAAATGATCGAAAAACACACAACCTGAGTAATATTCAAAATGCCACTTTTCTCCATCAGTCAAAGATTGAAGTGAGCGATAGTAAATTCCATTCCTATTGTGTACACTGGTACCTACTAGTCAGTCAGTAAATGTCAATATGAAACCCGATATAACTGAATAACTTCCTATGTTACCCACACCTCATATCACTACAGCAACATACAAGGCTCCAAGATGAAAGATGGGGAAATTGGGAAGAAGTAATGAAAATTAGAAGAAAGTAGTAAAAGGAGAGGAAGAAGGGATAAGGCAACAACGACACTCAGCACGACAATTAAGATAAAGATATTGTGTCGATGTCTCTGTGTCAGTAAGATCTATTCAAAATCATATCATCTACAGTCTCCAACCGTCCACTAAAATGGTCACATGGACTGCAACCAAACAGTCTGGATTCCTTTACGTGGTCCACAGACCTGTTGAAAAAGACTTCATGGAGAGATGTCACATCTCAGTATATCACCCATTTCGGGTTATCTCGTTCGACGGGGAGTACAATGACTATGTATAAGTAGCGCGTGTACCAGCCATCCGAGTAGATGAGAACTTACAACACCATTCACTGATCTACCTCTTTTGCCTGAAACTTTAAGCCTGATCGATACCCACTAACTTCCTGGTGAATTCAATTTAAAAGTTACAAACTGAACCAAAAAAGTCATACAATTTACTATTCGCCACAGTTAAAATACAACTAACGGAAGTATTTTAATATGTTGGTGATGATTATTGACTAAAATATAAATCAATAGGGATTCGAACCAAAAGCCTTCAGATTACTGACTTAGGTTTTGCTAACCAAATTAAAATTAGATCCAGACTATGGTCAGATCTCAACTTCACCTCAGTTATCAAGGGTTTTTCATGGCTATTTTATGTGTAAATGTTTTTTGACTAGCCATTTGTTACTACTACTAAACTATCATTTCTCAAAATGCTGAATATGATTTAAAAAAATCACATTTTTACTCATTACGGTATCGCTGTAAGTTATTTTAACATGCAATTGTAATCGTTAAATTCTTTTTATTGTATTACACCCAACACTTTAAAATATTCCATAGTTTTCTTCTTCTACAAACACTCTGATATTGCAATGAGATAGATATCCTCGTTACAGTTATGTAGTTTATATGGGTATAGTCTTTGGCAATGCAAAGAGCAGTGAATATATAACCTATTGTTTTGTAACAATACACTGCTATTTCACTTAGATCCATCTACAAGTAAGATACTCACCTTCCTTTTCCTTCATATGAAGTCCCTTCATAAAGTAATGCTTTAGTTTTTGGGGAAGCTGATCGCATATCAAGCTTTTTCGACAGTTGTTCAGTAGATATTAATGTACTTTTTGTTTGTTGTTTTTGTTCCGCTTCGATTCGTTTCAATTTAACACGTTGTTCAGCTTCTTTCAATAATTTATAATATTTATCATTATCTATATGAGTTTCTTCTAACTTCTTTCTCAGTACTGCAGAAACACCTGACTTTGACAGAAATTTATCCATATTATTCATAAAAAAATTTGAAGCTATTGTCTCCTCTTTCAATATTTGCTCTGTCATGTATAACTGTTTTTGTATATCATCCGAAGTGATTCTGGTCATTTTGCTGAGTCACTTATTCTTCGTTGATGTTTTCTGGTTTCTATATTTAACTTATTTCCCACATAAATATATGTTACTTCCTCATTATTAACAGTGTATTGATGATTATGAATCCAATTTGTCAATGCTGAGTATCATTTTAAAGTAAGTAGATACGCATATTGATCAATAAACAAGTGATTGAGAGGTATAACAAATCTCTTTCTACAAATTATACATTAATTTTAGTAATAGTTTGGTGTAATAAATACTTAATTATGCATAAGCAAGATGAAAACTCTATGAATTATCTAAGGGAGTTAGATAATCTGAGTTTGAACAGTGGCAGTTCAATGAAATACTTGATCGACCCCCTCATTTTTATAAACTATTTATCAGTAGGAAATTGATGTAGCTGTCTTGTTCCCAGTATACAGAAATCACTGAAGCCTGATAGTCAAGTTTGCAAAATGTCCTCTAAGCTAAGTGATTCAGTACTCTGCTTTACACCGTATTTTGATGTTAAGCGTTAATAATTAATTGTCTGAAAGCCCTAAAAGTGGGTTTCATGCTTGTTGGCACTCATTAGTGAAGCATAGACACAATTATGAGGGAATTGATTATTGCTCCGACAGTTCGAACCAGCTTAGAATTGAATCACCAGCTCCCACGTGGTTGCGGAAATTCCCTTCTACTGAGTGTCAACATGTACAAGACCCAGGTTGGACAGAGCATCTTGTCATTTGGCTCCCAACATCTTACATGAATGCAGCTGATTTTCATTAGATACTTATCAGCTGTTATTTATTGATACTTGTAATTTGCCATTTTCATTCTGGATTGAATCGATCCACTTGTATTGGTCTGCTGTAAGCATGTTTCGATATTCTCTGATTATTGGTTATGTTGTAATTTTTTCAGTGGTGACTAGAAGTGGAATCCAAGATGCGCGTTTCGTTCTATACGGGACTCATCAGCTGGATGCACTTGGACCTCAGTATGTGATGTCGTTCACCCTTGGACTTCATCCTAGCCTTCATTACTTTAAGTGCTCAAGCATTATCCGCTAGGCCACTAGGGCACAACAGTCACCTCTTGTGCAGAAGGCATCAGTTACCCGTTGCATAAGAGGCAACCGTCTTGGTCTAGCGGATAATCCTTGGGCGTTTGAAGCGCTGAGTTCTGGGTTCGAGTCCACGTGGGAGCAACATAACTCACTGGGGTTCAGCTACATCCAGCTGACTAGACCTTAATGGGATGAAACATGCATCCTGGATTCTACTGTTAGGCACCGCTAGATAAGTTAAAACTCATTTGCCTCTGATAACTTCATACTAATGTAATGTTATATAACTTCCAAGTAGCGACACTTGATAAATAAAGGCAACTCAGGTCTCCGCTGAACACACAACGTTTGCAGTATGTAGACACAGTAAAAAACTGTCTCAGCATTGAAAAAATTAGAGAATCGCATCCAACAACTAAGCATTATATAAGGCTGTAAACCAACAAATTGTTTTTTTTTCAGTTACAGTAATCTCCTGGCCGCACCTAATATCGGTTGGAATAGCATTGGATTTTACAAAAATACTAAATGTAGACGGATCAAGACACAGTGTCGATCTATGAATTAACTGACTGCGCCTCAGTGTTGCGCCCTGAAATATAATTCTTATTGTCGAGATTTTTGAGGTCTAAGGACCTAGACAATCTCTGCTTGCAATAACAATGATGACTGTGTTATTAAAAGTTGTGTCATCAAATAAAAGCAGCTTGAAGAACATATCTAACTAAAAACATTTTAGATATCATGCCTTAAATTAAATTACAGTGAACCAAATATATTCAAATATCATCATCCCTCTCAGTACTTACCATTTAACTACTCTATAGTAATTGTCTACAATCTAACCAAGATCTACTACTTGTCCATTTTAACAGTTCTCTACTTTAATTGTTTAGCACTTTTTTGAAGGTGTGACAAGTTGGATTGATTCTACTTTGTGTTGTGTTAGATGTTACTTTGTTTGTTCAGCTTAGACTTGTTCAAGAATTTAAAAACGTTGAAACTCCTCCCTTTTTATCAAAGCTTCATTTTCCCAATTATTCTTCTCTAAATTCTAAATCTCGAAGTTGCGTAACCAAGGAGGTAAACAAACTTTCATCTGAAATCAAGGATTCTTCCAGCTGTCAAGATACTATGATCTTATACTTGTAAAACTTTGTAGAACAGGAGAAAACATCGTTAATGAAAACATTTCAAAGTTATTAATTCTTAGCTGTGTGATGAAAACGATACTTAAAACCATCAAAATTCCCCAAATCATGACCTTGAACATCCGAGTATTTTTATAAAACAAAAGATGTTCAGAAAAGAGTCACATTTTTAAGTGATGTCATGCTCTACCTGTATAATTGCATTTAAATAAAACATTCATATGACAACAAAAAGGAATGTTTCATCAAATATCCTCAACAAAATTCATTTGTAATTGTAGGTCAGGAGACCTAAGGAAAGACTACTTAAAATCCAAAATATTCATGAGAAGAACACTCATCAAGATCAAGGAAATATGAACTTGAATGATGAAGTGTGGTTAAAGGAATCGATATAATGAGACAGAATTTGATTTGTAAGAAGACATAATGTGCCAATAAGTGAGTGAGAGGAAAGATCTTGTAGGTTAAATGTTCTTACACTTCATATCCATTGTAAATCGAGTGAGTGGACAAACTTCTTTCGAATACAGAGTTCAGGCTTCAAAATATGACTTGTCATGGCTTCCATGGTTTGAAGAAGCTTCAAATACACATCTTCCACAACGTTTGCAAGAACTCTGCAGGTGACACTGAAATTGTGTTTCATGTTCCCCGTGCTGTCAGGATTGTTCAAATATTTTAAGATAAAGTTGTAAGGTGATACCAGACTGCTATATTTTTGAAAATGCATTGAGAAAGTAAGCGCTGAGAACAGCCAACATACCTTACTCCGTAGGAGAGACCGAAATCGTAGATGTACACAGAGGTTGCTAAGGCAGCTAGCTTATCCTTTATGCATCATCGAAGCATTCGGTAAGAAGAGATAGTAAGTTTGAGGTTGGAGGTATACAAAGTCTTTCTCAATGAGCAAGCCAAATTGTTTCTTAATATTTCTCCTGAATGGTCTTCATTGGGTTGCAAATTCATGGGAAGGGGTCTCTTAGGAACCACGGGAGCGGAATGATTGTCTGGTTCCAGTTTCATAGATTCTCCAATGAATCTTTCACGATACTGATTTTCAATCAAAACACTTTTAAAAACTAGGTACATCTCCCAAAGTAGTGAAACAGTAGATAATGTGGATTCTATGAGGTAATCAGATTTCGTTTGGTGTTTGTAGGTACCCAACTATGAGGATTTACAAGTTGTTCGTTCCATATGGGTAGACATTTTAACTGTTCCATTGTTTTACGTAAGCTGCGTGTCTAAACAGGATATCTTACAATCAAGTTCCTTCCCTAGTATGAATTTGATCGCAGGGCAACAGTTGTGGAAGTGGTGTAGGATAGTTTATACATTACTTGTATCATTGGAGATGATGAAGGTATCACCTACGTGACACTTATGAAGTTGAAATCGATTGATCATCCTGCTCAAACGTATATTTCACAGCTTTGAAATGAAGAAGTCCCCAAGCAAAGGCTCCTGACGCACACAACTTGATAAACCAGCGAATCGAATGTGTATTAGGTACTTAAAATGATACCTTTATTGGCCAAAGCCCAATAACAATCGCCCCAGTTTCTTGTGTTCGATTTTTAAGAAAACTCAGCATTATCTAGCCACTCGTAGATACAGTCGACAGTTGTTTGCTAACAACATTTAATTAGACATACCTACAGAAGTAAACTCAACTAGTGTGAAAGGGGCATATGTATGCCATACAGTCGTAGCTATGGCAGACGAAGAATGATAGAGACCATATGAAGTAGTCTGTCAATACTTTTAACACTAAATCTAACCATAATTCTATCTAGAAGAAAACATACTATAGAACAATAACGAATTTTAGTAACCAAGCCGAGAAAAATAATATTCGCTCAACAACCAAGGGCAATAGGCAATCAAAGATCATCCGTGAGGAGGAAAAATACCATCGGATCGCTAAAACCGGACATAACTCAATCCAATTCTTCCATCATTCAGTCATTTCCTGACATGTTCAAACATCTGACACGCCTTGAGCAACGTCAAGCGTTTCGCACCATCTAGTGACAGCAGGTCAACCAGTTTTCGTGAGACCACGACGTCTATCTCCAGATAAGCTACAGGATATCTAAGCTGAGTTCGAACATATGCTGGAAACGCGTATCATTAGACACTCCAACAGCGCATGCTCTTCTCCTTTGCATGCACTCTTCCATAAAAGTGGCATGGACTGGCAGCTTTGTGGTGACTATCGACGACTCAACGTCAAGATGATTCTAGATCGTTACCCGGTGCCTCATATGCACGGTTTGAAAAGTGGGACGGTCCTCAACAAACTTGACCTGACACGTACTTACTATCAAATACCCGTACGTCTGGATGATATGCCGAAGACAGCAGTCATTATACCGTTCAGCCTGTTTAAACTTCTCTGAATGCCTCTCGTACTACGGGATGCTGCACAGACACTTCAGTGTTTCACTTACAAAGTCTTGTGCGTTCTAGCTCTTAACCACACCAACCTAGACGATGTCCTTATGGCAAGCTCAGACGGCGATGGTCATCGTATTTACTTGCAGCAAGTTTTTGCAAGGTTTGCCGAGCACTCAGTTACTCCCAATCTGGTTAAGGGCTAACCTCGTGACCTTTGTTGAACATGTTATCGCTGAGCATGGCATTCGGTTAATAACAGAAAAGGTGCACGTGATTGAACGGCTCCCAGTACCGATGTCATTAAGTACACTGCATACATTATTTTCGATCGTGAGCTATTATGCTCGCATATAAGTTGT